AAAAAAAACTCATAAGAGCTCTTACATAATTCTCAATCTGTAATCTGATAAAGTGGTAGTGCTAGAAAAACACCTGACTACATTTCTCAACCAAGCAAGGAAAAAACCCCACATTTGGTCCCTCTAGAAAACATGCAGAAACCATCCACCATCCTTCTAGCAGCCCCTCTACAAATATTGATAAGTATAGACCTGCTGTGGTACAGCATAGCAATGCTTTCTGGTAAACCTAAGAACACACCACATTACTATCTTAACTTCCCAGGACAGTATGCAAACATATGAAAAGCATGACTGACTGTGGTCTAATTCAGGAATGAAAAAAATGCTGCTAAATAGGGCAACTGTGCCTCCAGTAAACTCAATTGCTGAAACACACGGGTTACTTGTGCACAGGATCAGTTTTCCTCCTCTCTCCAAAGGGCTAACAGAAACTGTACAGTAAAATTACCAGCCAGATCCAGGGTTTATCCCACATGTTATGTCCATCAGTTACCAGCTATTGATGCTTCAGAGGAAGAAAGAAGTATCACACAAATGCAGGAGTAGTTTTTTCCTTCCCCAAAAATCATTCTCCAAAATCTCAATTAATAGACTGGTTTAGTACCCTAAAGGGCAAGATTTACTACTCTTCGGCATGCTATGACCAGTTTAGATACACTTGGCCTGTACATATGTATCCACATTCCTTTGCTGTCTAAACTCTTTACGTCTGCAACCTGCTACAACCACTTAATACACAACTGCTGTTAATGTAAAAAAAGGTCTCAACTTCAAGGCATAAACTTCAAGGCATACCACCCTTACTGTTACTTAGCACTGTGCAACATTCTTTATTGTATTCTCTGTTCATTTATGTCTATTTTACATTCCTGTGGCTCTCACCATGTTAAACAAACAGTAAAACTTGCGTATTAATTATTTGCTCCCTTCTCAAAACTACTACATAAGCAAGTGCAGGACCTACTTCAGAGAGACCCCCTCCAACGACATTTTTATGACAGAAAATGTTTGCTGACTGATGTGGAACAGCTTTGATGATTTATTATTCTCTTAAATATTATGTGTGCGAAGCTAGATCCATGGTTTCAGCATCTGGATGTGATGGGAACAATGAAATATAACTAGAGCTGTATATTCTAGGTAAACAATTTAATTCAGGCTACAGACAGAGGTTCAGTGCATTTAAACGTGAATTTTGTACTCCTTTTGGTAAGGTTCTAAGATCCAGTAATTGCCAGTGTACAAATAAGATCTGCAGTCACTTTACACTTCCTAGAACAGGAGCACCTTTAGGGAGGTAGTGTTAAGACTACTAAGTTTAAAAATTTCAGCCATGCATTCAAAAAACCCCAGTGAACTGCAGTTATCCTTTTTCAAGGCTCGACCTTCTCTGAAAGCACAGACACTTTCAAGTCACAGTCCAAACAACACTTCCAGATGGACACTTAACTCCACTCTGTTCAGTGGAGCATTAACCATTCAATAAGCAGAGCCACAAGTTTTCATGAGGTGCAGCCCCTGAACCCAAAAACCCCAAGAGCTTCTCTGAACAAAGCTTCACTGGCACTTTCATCTGAGAAAGCTGCATACAATAACATGTTAGGGTAATTACTCTCTGCAAACTGTCCCCCTCACAACTAAGGATGCAAATGTCACTGCCAGACTCTAGTGCTCTGAACTTCAGGTATTCAATTCTGGCATAACTATTTAAACAGATAGATACAATTGTCTCAAGTGCGAGGCAGTTATTTTCTTTGAAGGGTTGTCTGCTTCAGCTACTCACTTCTGTTGCTCCATCCGAAGTCGTTCCTCCTCTATTCTTCTCCTCTCTTCTTCTTCTCTCCTCAGTCTTTCCTCTTCTTCTCGCCTACGTTTTTCTTCTTCTTTTTGTAAACGCTCACGCTCCTCCTCTTCACGTCGCCTTCGTTCTTCCTCTTCTCTTCTGCAACATCCACTCAATAAGCTATTTCAGCATTCCTACAATCCTAGAATGAGTTATTTTCAACATGCTGTAACCTGTCTTTTGCCTGCCCAGTAAGGCTTTTTGTTTGGTATCATCTCCCACTTCAATCTGACTGGAGAAGTGTCGTCTTGGACACAAGAAGAAAACATATTGCTGTTTAGTTTTATTGCACTGTGCGGTATGACAAGTGCAAATTCCGTGTTATGATTTGATACTCATTCTAACCTATTACTATACTATCCTTCACACAGAGCAGTAGAAAAAATTGTGTGGAAACCTTAAACACATCTTCCAAGCTTTAACATATTTACATAACTACATGGAATCTACAGTTTAACAATCACATGCTATGTAAATGATAGTAGATGATAGCCTTCAAGTTGCTAACCCATACAAGAAGGGGAGTTAAACACACCTGACAATTTCATGTTCTGTCTATACTTAGTCCACAGACATATCAGGGCAGACATTTTGTGAAGCATGTATTTCTTAGACAGCAGGATCAGTAAAATTTTAAAAACTCCTTATATTCTAGGTGTCTTCACCTCAGAAACAATCATTCATTACTGCCAAAGCAGAAAGGCTTGAAGAGATCAAATGGTATCACAACCACCTAAACTTCAAGCACTTCTCTTGCCAAGACAACTTCAACCTAAGCTAGCTGTGACACTGTAAGTCAAGAGTTATACACTCCATATACTCCAACATCAAAAGACTCAGACATTACCTTTTTTTTTCTTGTTCTTCTTTCTCTATCTTGTGGGAAGTGACATATGTTGAAAACAAGTGGCAGCACCTATTCAGGAGCTTAACAAATTCTGTCATAGCTTTTTGCTTTGACATGTTTCCAAGGGCAGCCCATTCCTTCCTGAGAGAGAGACATCAGCTGAAATAACAGAAGACTCAACTCTTTTCAAGTCAGTAGGGAACTCTGAGAATCCAGCAAAGAAAAAAAGTTGGGAAACTAGGGAGCAAACCTTATCACAGGCAGTTTCAGAGAACCAACAACTTTCTCCCATTCAAAGACAGACCTTAAACCTGTAGGTCTCAGTGCTCTCTCCCTTGTCTGCACCAGAACAACCCTTTCAAACATACATAACTGAGTGCTTATACAAAATGTCATATATACCATTGACCCTACTTTGAATTCTGAACTATAACCAAAAACATCCCAGATACAAATGAACCTTAAATATTTTTTACCCCTCCTCCACTTCAGTTTGTGGAAAAAAAACGCATACATTTTCCTAGATAAACAAACATAGCAACAACCATCAATTATCGTGCTTGAGTCAGTTGAATGTAATAGCCTGGTTCTTCCTAAAGGAAGGCTGCGTCCATTTGGGCAAAAGCAATGCACTGAGTGCAGCTCCGAACAGCCAGTGCTGTGCCGCACGCTGCCTTCACACTAGAAATCACAACAGTGAGCATCAGAAGCACAGCCTGAACTGCAAGCAATAGGAGAGACAGGCCTGCAACTGCCCAGATCTCAAAGTTTACTCAGAGTTTGAATGCATCGGATATCAGAGTTCAGAAGTTATCTTTGATATGAACAAAAGCTATGTTGAATGCTGCTACCGTCCGCTAAAGGCTTGGCCTGCTGTAACCCTGGTGCAGAGTTCGATGAAACACTGGCCTGCACATTAATGCACTGCTAACCAAGTCTATGAGAAACCAGACTGTTGGCACAGCAGTTATTCCTAATGTGGTTGAAAAAACACAATAATCTTCTGTCAACCCCTTTACTGAACTGTGACTCAGATTTCTAAGCTGTATTTGAAGAGGCCACCCTCACTATCCACTACCATACACACACACACACACACACACACTGACACAACCCACATCCTTATTGTCCTAATGCAGAAATTGGATGATGTTTTCTTCAGACAGGAAAAGCAGAGTTACGATCAATAACAGCACCAGCCCTTTTACCTTCTATCATTCCCCAGCACATCAAAGAATCCAACTTCAGGGCAAGTGTCAGGGTTGTAAGGTCCCAGCAGAACCTGCTTGTGCAGTGCCACAAGTTTGAGTTTTTCTTCATATGTTGGATGAAAGGCTTTGCCATCTTTTTCTGTAGAAGAAAGAAAATTTCACTGTTGTAATTAATTGATTAAGCACAGGAAAGCAAAGAGCATTTTGTATAACCACGATCATTAATTTCTCCGTTAAAAAAGGAATAAGGAAGGTAAGTCACAAAAGGTTAGAAAAATTAACTCAGTTCTCTTCAAATAAAATATAGATCTGTTCATAAGAAACACATCTAACTTTAGCTGCTGAAACTTAATTATGAAGTGTTTTTCATCATATCATCTAAAGTGAATCTTAGCTTGCAAGTTATCACAAAAGTATTTATGTTAATTAGTTGAACATAATGCCAGATGGATCTGTATCTCTGAAATATTTCAAAACCTTAACTTGAATTCAAATGCGTCTGCCAAATCTATTGTAGTGTGGATAGGAAGGATTTTCCACAAAAAAAACATGTGTCATTAACTTTATACATTACTCTCCTTTCATGCACTTCACATTGATGAAGGCAGAACAAGCAAGGTTTAAGGCAAGGAAAATCGCAGAGAGAAAAATTAGAGTTAAAGGAAAGTTTTCCTTGAGACAATTTGCTGCGCTTTGCCAAGGCAGCTGGAATAACCTCTCACAATGAGACGTCTTAGAGGCAACTCCATCGGCACCAACAAGTAGAGAGAGCTCTGGCCATAAGACACAGGTAACATAAGCCTGAACATGACCAGAATTCAATGGCTCCACGCCAACACCTTCTGAAACGGTCCCCTGGTTAGATCCCGCCGCACATTTACTGGTAAGAAGAGACTTCCATTGATTTAAAATGATACATGAATTAGTCAGCTGGGACTTACCTCAGCACATTTAAACTGTCAAAACAAATCAAAGAAACAGGCACAACTATATGCAATTACACTGCTCATTAAGAAAAGACCTTTTTCTTCAACAGGAAAACAACTAAATAAGCATCATCTCCTCCTGGAAAGGCTGAAATGAGGAAGCCATTATTGGATGTAAACAACAGACATTTCATATGACTACTGCTAACTGCTCTCCACGTAGCCGGGAACTGCAGGCAAGGCTGCCATGAGTCTCCAGCACTTCTTGTACAATAAAGGTCACTTTGGAGCAAGTTGCTTACAGCCCTAAACCAAACAATCCAATTCATACTCAAACTTCACGGCTGCAACTGCACACTGCAAAATTGCTCAGCTGATGCTAGTAAATAGAGTTATTAATAAGAAGCAAATCTCAGAACAAAAGAGGCAGCAAAATACCTCTATTATGGCTTATTGAGAAACTCGGAGCAAATACTTCTGAAAACTGAGAACTGGAGATAACCCTAGAGTGAAAGTGTTTGCAGGTCACAGCAAGAAGTTATATTTTTGACAGAGCAAGTTCAGTACATTACTACTTACTCAGTTAAAACATCACAAGCAACCACTACACATGTGCCAGTAATTTTGAAGCCAGAAAAATAATCATTTATTATCCACTTCTAGAGGTACACTGCACCTTCCAGAATCTCAAGTATTCACTCTTCTTCCAGTGTCACACAACTTTACAGCAAATATCTCTTCTACCTTCGAAAAATGGAAGCCTTTGTCCACAAAAATATCTATTCCCAAAAATACCTGATGGGATGGAAGAGGAGGACATAGAGAACCAGAATCTAGCCAGTGCTATCCAGTGAAAAGACAACAGGCAGCAAACGTAAACTGAAATAACAGGAAATTCCACTTAAGCATATAAAGTGGCTTTTTTTACTGTGAGAGTGATCAAGCACTGGAACAGGTTGCCCAGAGAGGTTTTGAAGTCTCCCATCCTTGGAGATACTCAAAACCCAAACAGACACAGTGCCAAGAAGTCTGCTCTGAACAGCAAGGACTGAACTTGGCAATCCCGAGGTCCCCTCCCACATCAACAAGTCTGAGACCCTTAAGAGATGCACATCACCACATCCTGGTAAGCTCTCTCCCTGGGTCTCACGTCTCCTGCTCTCAGGCCACCCAAAGAGTCCTTTGGCTTTTTCTCAATTCTTCACACTTCACATTTAACTCGGAATTTGTTTATTAGGTAGCAAGCACTTCCATTAGCCTCCATAAACAGCATGCACTTCGAAATCACACTTAATATCCTAAGGCAGCGTGCTTAAAGCAAGTGAATTGCTAATGGTACTACACTGAAATTTAGCCAGGCTTCTGAGCAAGTACACTTCTCAAGGGGGTCCCTACGGCATAGTTTACCTTGCACAACCTGCACACCTACAGCTGTCTGCCAAAAAACACAGCTATTTGCTGTACTAGACTGCTGCCTAAGCCAGCTAACATCATCACTATTTGAACTCACTTCCGAAGAGGGTAAAGGGAGAAAAAACATTGTTAGCCACGCTATACACAGCATGTCTGTCTTTTCACAGAACAGAGAAGTTGGATCTCAAGCACGAACTACCAAGAGAAGCTAAAATCTGCATTTATGAAGAATGGTGACCCAAGGGAAAAAGAACAAACAAGCTAAATAAGAGAGGAAAACAGATGAGAAAAATATGAGACAGGCATTCAGTGACTCGTAGATAATGCAGATTAGAAGCAAACTCTCAGCAAAATATTTGGAGCCAGGTAAGAAAGCAAAGTTGTATACTAGATATTTTTTCAGTTGAATTCTTCAGCATGAACCACATGGTATAATTATACCTAAGATTTTGAATTGTTGATGTTAAACTGAACCAGAAGACTGGAAGCCATCTGCAGAGCCAAATATGCCACAAAAGAGTGCCAGTGAGTCCGGACAAGTGCCAAATTTATTCAAGCATCCGTGAACATACCATTTAAGTAGGTATTATCCACACATCTAAAACAGCTGCCAGGAAGCTGAAGAACATCAAAGAGCTCTAGTGAACACACTGAGAAATCCAAAAGGACATGCACAGCAGTGGTACAGTAACCATACAACCCTCCCTATGCCACTGGTATGCCTGACCCAAGAGGGACAGAGAAAGGCTCAGCTTTCTTACAGAAGATTAGGAGACTTCTTTCCTGACAGTACTTCAAACCACCATTCACCTGAAATGGCAATTTCTCAAGTCAACTAAACTCTATGCTTAAGCAGCGGCCACTAACAGATCAAACTCAACTAGTGATTAAGGGGGTGGCTACACAAACGTGGCAGGCTATGGACCCACAATGCTTCAGGCATTCTGCAGTAAGGGCCCATATATATATACACACACACACATACATATGTATGTATTTCACTGATGACACAAAGTAGTTCACCCAGAACACAGAGCAAGGCTGGCTCCCACTTACTGTGAGCTCAGGCCTCCCCGACATGAAAGCACGGCACGCCGTTACTGTGCTGTCACCCCAGAAGGGAAATCTCTACACACCTTGTATCAGCTCTTCAGACTACCGCTCTCCTTGACAGTGGGTACTTTGTTCAGATGCCCGCAAACTGAGACCCACTGATGGCAACTCAGTTAAACATGCCAGAAAACCAATATGGAGCACACCAACGACCCTCCTTTGCGCTACAGGTAATTAAACGTATGCTTGAAGACCACTGTTTGTGTCTGCACACAAACGCAATGGAAAGATGAAGCTGTAACCAGTAACGAAAAGCAGATAATGAAGACTTCTGTCACTAGGCAGCACTGTACCATTGACACCAATCAGTATAAAACCGCACATTCAGACTCGGGGGAGTTTAAGCAGCATGCTTAAGAAGAGATCGCATCATGCAAGATACTGTTACTCCCATGTAACTTCAGAATATTTTTTTCCCCGTAAGAAATATGGCGCAACATGCGGCGGCTTCCGCTCCAATTTCACCTACTGCACTCACTCTAAATGCCTAATTCCCATGGGATAGCACTCAGCTGAGTCATCTAGAAGCTGCTATAAAACAGCTCGCAAAAGGTGGTTTTTCACCTCACAGCTTTTAAAAGCTGATGTCACGTATGTTAATGCTATTCATTTGCAAAGTTTTAATGAAAAAGAACAAAACTGAGAAGCACGAGAACTGAATCGCTGCCTGCAGATCCCAGTATGCACTCTTACACTCTTAATTCTCCTCTCCTGAAGCTGTTCTAGATCAACCATCCCTCCCAATTAAACTTCATCAAAGCTCAACTTCACATCAAACGTAGATACATTGTAGGGGTTTCATATTCCTGAAAACAAGAGCCTACTTAACTTATGAATTACAATCATGCCATCAAATTAGCCCTCAAAAAAAAAAGATGAGGTCAAACAATAAATTTACAACAACGTATTGCTGAGGCTGAAGATGCATTCTTGTTAGGATAAGAGGAAATAACTTGGAGCACTCAAACAAAATTAGAGTACTTAACATACCAGGAGAGCTTTTAGATACCAAAATGATACGGTTTCTATACTGTCTATTCAGATGTGCTGCACTGCAAATCACTTTAGGCAGTGCATGACCAACTTCAGGGACTGTCATATATTGAAGGTTGGGTTCAATGGCATTTTAACAACAGGATGTTGAAACCCATAAAGCCAGGTTGATACTGGAAGAGATTTGCTGGCAGAGCTACGCAAGCCACCCCTCCAACTGCAGGACACAGCTTACACCTTAAACAAGTTACCTTCACTGGTGTAGCTCGAAGCAGCTCAACAAGGAAAATCAGCCATCAGCAACACTTCTACTGTGCCAGCTGCCCGCGGGCACACAATTACAGACAGTCCAAGAGAAGAAGAAACATACCCATTCCAGTAACAGGACTGTGTTCTGCACCATACGCTGGATCCAGCACAGGGGAGCAGCTCCTCAATCGCAGCCAAAACACTGGTCGACCCGAACCAGGCTCAACAGAACAGTACTGGGAAGAGTGGGTATCGTAAGGAAGGCTCTTGTTTCTCACAAAAAAAATTGACTGGCACGCTATTAACCACCTATTTTCTATGCCTCTATTATTCTGAAAACCTTTCCTCACAAGCCATTATGGATGCTAAAAAAAGCTAGAGCACATCTCCTGCGCAGCCTAAGGCCTGACAGCTGAAGTGACCCAGGGTCGAGCATTTTAGATCT